AATCACAGTCTTATGACCGTTGTAGAAAACTTAAAAGCGCACGATATATTATCAAGGATGATAACCTAACCGTTGTAATATATTAAAGGTCCCATGTTCAATTCCCAGCGCATTTTACGTATATAACCACTGTCTTCTATGACAACCGTGGTTAAATTATATATTATAATTATACAACCATAAGCATAATTAAAAATCGTCGTTAAATTATATGCTTTTAAAAAAAATATTCCTGCATTTTAAAAATTTTCCATTTTTTAACCTGTATTGTTTAAACAACAACAACAACAATTGAAGATATATTTCTGCATTGTGTTCAACTTTATAACCTGTATTGTTTAAACTGTAACAGAACAGAAATACCAATTGAAGATGTATATTGAAATACCCAAACTCAAGTACTTATTTATTTCATCAAATAAAAAATGTTATTTACAACACTCAAACTCAAATGTACATCACACACACACACACACACACGCATATACATATATATATATATATATATATATATATATATATATATATATATATATATATATATATATATATATATATATATATATATATATATATATATATATATATATATATATATATATATATATATATATATATATATATATATATAATCATATTGAACATATATGCCCAACGTTTACGAATGTCTACAAAGTCTTCGCATGGGAATGATGTTTCGTCGTTAAAAATCTGGATAAAATATACTAGATTAGTCTCATTATTGAAGACCCATACGCGCATTGTAAGCAATTCGTTACATGTATAATATATATCTGATCTCATTTATCAACAATGTCGGTGAAGACAATGTTTAACATGTGTTTCATTATATAATAACTACACTCGAATCCCTTTGGTTGTTTCTTCGTCTACAAAAATAAGCATTAATTTCGTGAATGTTATGAACACACATGCATGTAACAATATATATAAATGAATGCCACAAGTAATATAGCCACTTACATTAGGGAAGATAAATGTTGATTTTTTTCTACTATTGTTCAATATATTGTGTTGCTGCACAATACTGTATATTGAAAATATTTTACAGGTTAAACCAATTAAACTAGTTACAAAGTCAAAGAAAATATATATTACTAAAAAGTTTCATTCAAACATAAACTTACCCATTAGTAATTTGCCTCATTTTATGTTCGAGTGGTTTATGTAAGAAACACAATGTCGTTATCATATTCGTCTTAAGCGATATGACGATCAATTGCCAATGATCACTGAATAAACACGAGCATATATATAATTAGTATTTTCTAAAACAAAACTAACTATAAAAGATAAACCACAATTTCAAAATTACTTAGCATTGAGAAATGGTGCTAAGTAACATTCTTTTCCCCCTTGACTTAATCGTTCTGAAATGTAGGACTCAATCTCTTTTGGCTTAGTATTTGTCCATCGAATACTACACAGATCCAAGATGCCATAAATATTTGATTTATTTAACTCTATACATACACAGTGAATGTACCTAAGTGGTTAAACAAAATTCAAAAAATAATTAAGGAAATAAAAAAATTATAATATACTATAAATAATGACATACATGTTCAAATATATACTTACATGCACCAAACTTGCAATATCCCTACGTCCAGCCAATTTTCTCTATAGAGAAAATCTTGTATGTCACTAGGATAAAAATATAAGAGCTCTACCGATGGACAATGCTCTAGAGGAAGAGAATACGGGTCGTCGCTTTCCGCAACTAAAATGTATAACATGGTGACATGTGTTTGGGGAACTTGATCATCAACATTATCATCATTTTCATTTGTACGTTATGGGGAGGATCCACTTATTTTCTTCAATATAACATTCATTTTGAACACAATACATAATAAACACATTTCTATCTTTTCTAACTTTTCAGATTAAACACAATATGTCATACATTTCATATAAAACACTAGCATTTAAGATAAAACACTTACTGCATATAACTCTTCTAACTTTTCTATGTCTTTCTTCCGATTTTCCTGCTCGGCTTCTAACATCTTCCTTTGTTCTTCTAAATCGTTCTCAATAACCACAAGCTTTTCTCTTTGCTATTGTAATTTGGTGTTTTCAGCATGTTTTTTGGTTGGGCCAAAGAATAATATCAGGTTGGCGCCTTCTCCAACACCACGAACGCGCCCACCATGGTCATCTGTTCTAATAGCCTCAACTAGTATATCATGTTGTGGTTCTGAAACAAATGATCCTCCACGTTCCTCCTCAACTAGCATATCCTACACAACATGCATGATAATACTAATATTGTAATTACGACAACATTTAAATAACATATAACATACACACAACAAATCATACTTATAATTTTCTCAGCAACTGCTCTTGACGCATCTAAAGTGTACTCTCCATTTGGTCTTAGTCGAGTCCTCTCCCACTTATCATGCCTTGGTGGTGGAGATGGGTTGAGATCACGACTAATGGAGTCCTCGTCTCCCATTTGTTATTTTTCCCTCCATCATTTTTTCTCCAGTTTCCTGTAACTCCCACGAGACAATCTATAGGGGTAAATGTTTTTTTTCTTTATTTTGTATTTCTGCTTGACTTCTAGTTTATTATAAACATAGTGAAAATATGATGAGTGTCTATAAATCATTATCATCAAATTATCAATATAAATAAGACTAGTTTTAACCAGGAATTTCTTAGAATGACGGCCCTTTGCAAACTTTTTCCAAACCTTTTTCGAGAGAAAACTATACCTCACTCATAGACGCTCAAGACCAATCTTAGGCTTCCTAATGTAGTCACGCGTAATCCATGACTTAAAGCCCATCCAATATGTACCAACATGACTTAAACACTTTTTTAAGTGTTTATCACCATCCATAAACTCAAAGGTCAACTACATTTAAACCAATAAGAATGTATTAGAAATTATAGAAAGTCATATCGAAATGATGGAAATTAAAACAAAATTTTAACGTCTGTCCATATGCTATATTTGACATCATATGGCGTTTGTTTCCAATCATCTACCAATATACTAATTTTGCTACGTCCAAGGAGCGCAACATAAATCTTAAAGAGAATAGTATTTGTCAAGACCCACAAATACATAATCAAAGATAATCAATCAATAGAGAATCCAAACTAGTTCACAAACATAAATTAGATGAAATACATAAGGTATCAAAAGATTACATCCAAACCCCAACAAGAGATCAAAGATCTTACCTCCTCCCTCTTAGGGTTTTGTGTTCCTCTCTCTAAAATAAATGAAGAGAGATAAATTCTGATGTATCTAATGTTACAATATGGAATTATATGATGTATGTCTAAAACAAACAAGAAAAACACTTAAATAACACATTCTGGATCTGTCATGCTCGCCTAACGAGCAGATCCTTCGCCTAGCGAACAGTAAGTTAGGCACGTGAGGTGCCTCTGAACAGTCAAACCGCCCCTGAGACTTTTCCAAATGCTCGCTAGGAGAGCAATTCCTTCGCCTAGCGAATTTTGGTCCTTTTCGCCTCTGTCCAAGTCTGGGAGTATTCGCTAGAGCTTCACTACCACTTCGCCTAGCGAGCCCTTCGCTACATAGCTCGCCTAGCGAGCTTCATGATGTTTTTGGAGGGAGCTTCGCTAGCAAGTTTGCCTAGCGAACTTGCTGTTGTTTGCATGCTGCCTTGGTTTATTTGTCCTATTTATTGTGTTTTAATTTCCATTTGTTTTGTGCCTAATTCCTGCAAATAGCACACAAATCAAAGGTACCAAGAGATTTTCACAATATATTGCAAATCAAACAAAGCAAGAGTGGTTTTCAACACTTTCTTGACAAAAATGAGTGAAAGATGTCAACATTTGATATATCAAATAAGTGAAATTCGGCATCTAACAGGGGCAATGGCAGATCCTGAGGCATTGTTATTGTGTGGGCTGACCATGATTGGAATGGAAGTTGAAGGTTGATTTCGCTTTGGTTCTTGAGCTTCTGTGCTTGGACAAGAGAAATAACGGGGAAACTGAGTTTCCCACAGACGGTGCCACTGATCTCACCTTATCAGAGTGGGAGAGCAAATACAGAGAAGTAGGTGTAGAGAATAGAATACCCAACCCTCTAGTGAAAAATGATATTTATAGAGAGACCCCAGCGCAGGATCAACGGTTACATCGCATTGGGTCAGACTGCCAGGCTCAACCCAAGTAACTATCAGGGCTTACGTGGCGTAGTGAAGACCAGCATGTGGTCCTCGCTCTAGATCAACTGCTCAGTGGTCTTCGGAAGGTGGGCTAACCAACTCTTTCGAAGGTGGATAACATGGGAGAACACGTGGAGAACGTGAGAGAAACGTGTGAGTCTCTCCGTCAAAGGAGTTATCTGCCCGACATATATGGCTTGTATCCGACATAAGAGGATTGAGTCTTATTGAGCCTCCCTAATGTAGTGTTGGGTTGGATCTGCCCGACTGCGGAGGCAGGTCCCTGCCCAGTCCAAAACATGATAGATTTAAATGGTCTCAAAGTTCATGTTAAAATGAAAAACACATTTAACATTTTGATAGCCTGGATTTGTCAAACGTCAAAATTTTCCTGCAATTATACACTCATTGTTGCAAGCTGTCCGATCAAGATCCAACGTTTGTGATTTAAAAACAGTATTTTATAAATTATTAAATAAATTTTAAATTTATCTGTTTTACATTTCTCATAAAATCAAACCGTCATAAATATCGTGATTGCGTGATTAACTGGAAATTCTAATCATAGAAAAGTCTAACTATAGAGAATCCGCTTACATTTTTTGAACAGAAAAAAAAAGACTCGAAAAGAGCTTCTTCAACGCAAACGCAACAAACCCTGCCGTTTCGACGTTTTCACGCGATCAAACAGAAAAAAGGTTCCCAAACCCTTGAATCAATGTTCTTGTTCTCTTCAATTCTTCATTTCAATTTTTCTTCATCCATTCTTATTTACTTGTTAATTTTACTGTTGTTAGCAGAGAAGATTCGATGGGTGCCGCGCAAGTGCAAAACGGCGTCGCCGCTTCTTCCTCCTCCGCTTTGAACCAAGGAACAGCGACTGCAGCAACAACAACAACAGTAACACACGGCGTCGCCGCTTCTTCCTCCGCTTTGAATCAAGCAACAGCTACTGCAACAACAACACCAACAGCAGCAACGGCGTGTGAAGTGTCAAATCCGCCGAAGAAGAAGAAAATTTGTTGTGCTTGTCCTGACACGAAGAGGATTCGAGATGAGTGCATAGTAGAGCACGGAGAAGACGCTTGTGCCAAGTGGATCGAAGCTCATCGACTCTGTCTCCGCTCCGAGGGATTCAATGTTTGAGAATCGGTATTTTATTGTAATAATAACTACAGGTTTTTTGTTGTTGAAATTAGATAATAGGTTAAAATAAAATTTAAAGGGATTTAGGGTTTATCAAATTTTGCTTAAAATTGTTGATTTATATACTGCCTGTATTCATCCAGGAAATTGTGAATTTTAGACCTAATACACCATATTCTATCAAAATGTTGTCTATTTGATTTGATTTGATTTAATCACTGATAGTAAGTTTTATATAATCATTGAATTATTACATACGAATAAATTTATTGGAGTTTAATCTTTAAATCAAATCGAATGAATGGTTCTTGGATATTTGGAAGCTCTATACAACATGACATATGTGAATTGTATGGTTCTTTTTCTTTATAACATATGAATTGAACGATATGAATATGAGAGAATTATCAGGTAACATACATGTATTTTCTCTCAGCATATTAATGGCTTCAAATTAAGGGTCTGTAAGTTCATCCTCCCATATAGTGCATGTTTTGAGAGTGCAAGCAGAGAAAAGGCAGGAACATAATGGATCCGAACAATCCAATGGAAAATTCAGTGACCTACATCAAAAACAATAATGCTGACGAAGCAAAATCGTCTTATACTTACTCTCACAAAGCAAATTCAAGCTCAATGGAGAAAGGAAGCCACGAAGTAATGAGAAACAATTCTATACGCCATTCGCACGGCCGAAGCAGGGGAAGTAAAGGTAGCTTTACATCAGAGTTTGACACCGAAAATCGCCGTATTGATCACTCTGCCATCAGCAAAGCTCCAAAGGAGTTAGCAGTAACATTGGTAGCTTCTCTTCATCAAATCATAGTAGACACATAAATGGAAGACACTCTAGCATTGGTAGCTTCTCTTCATCAAATCATAGTAGACACAGAAATAGAAGACACTCTTTTAATGATCGTGACAATAAAACAACAGTACCAGTACTCGGTAATTGGAATGTAACAGACCCCAAATCAGGAGAAGGTTATACTGTAATGTTCAACAAAATAACAGAAGAAAGACAAATCACGTATGGCCACAAGATTCTGCCTCAAAACCACGGTTCAAATATGAAGAATCAATATGGCCGATGGATCTTCTTTCAGTTTCAATATGATGGATCTTCTTTGCTTACTATTGCATGTTTATTGTTTTGTCCAGAAATTTTGTATATATATGTGAAACATGTATTTCAAGTTTCACTGCTAATTTCATGAATGTGTTTGTAATTTTGTGCAGTATTGTTGCTGTTTGTTTACAAGCGAAACCAAATGAACACGGATTTGCTGTTTGCTTGGGCTCACGAGAGACTTGAATTTAGAGTGTGCTATGAATAAATTTATAATCTTATAAGAGCATGAATTAAGTCTCACATGTATGTATGGATGTTTTGATTTTTTAACATTATGTTAAACTGAAATCAAACTACTTGAAAAGAAACATAAAGCTTAATTATGAATAAGTTTAACAAAAAAAAAATAAAATTGTAAGATGAATTTCATTTTGAAGATCAAGATAATCATAGCAACGAACAACATAAAACTTGTAGTAACAACTGTAGTACCAGCATAACGATTCAAAACTGCAAAATTTATTGTCAGAGTATATTGCGAGGTTCTTTAATTTGCTTGGGTATTTTGGAAAGTTCTTTAATCGAGTACCAAAGTAATCAAAATCAAATGGAATATCAATATCATTCAAGTCATCAAGACAACTAAGATCATCACCAGCAACCAAGTTCAACTCTGATTCATCAAGTGTTAACCAATTTGATTCAAGTTTCGATAAATCACCAACACTTGCAACAATATTTGGTTGATTCATCACTTGCAACAACATTTGCTTCTAGCTTTATGTCTATTTTCCCTAAAGAATTAAGGAATGTAATTTCAAGCACAACTCTCTTTCTCAATTTTTTTTTATCCAAACTAATATTATTTCTTTTATCCGATGAAGAATCTATTGCATCAGATCATCATACACTTTCTTCTACTTTTAGAATCACGAAATGGTGGGGTGATCCATTAGTATTTGAAAGTTAAAATAACAAATATTTTGTTATTATTATAAGAGATATTCACCTTTACAAAGAGAAAAAAAGATTACTGAATAATTATATGTGTAATTATCATATATATATATATATATATATATATATATATATATATATATATATATATATATATATATATATATATATATATATATATATATATATATATATATATATATATATATATATATATATATATATATATATATATATATATATATATATATATATATATATATATATATATATATATATATATATATATATATATATATATATATATATATATATATATATATATATATATATATATATATATATATATATATATATATATATATATATATATATATATATATATATATATATATATATATATATATATATATATATATATATATATATATATATATATATATATATATATAATTAAGTCAACAAAACTAACAAATCTTATAATCCTTATTGGTAAGTTCACAAATTTATTACTGAGCTTCAATAAAGCTCTGATAATCACTTCTAGTTAAGTCCGATCATAAATCTCTATAATTGTGAAAATAAACACATTACATGTATGAGTGAAATAAAAAACAATACACAATAATAAATAATTTTTCTGATAAAAATATTATAAACGCAAAATTTAAAAATATAAGTTTTTCTATGCATATTGCATATATTATGGGTAGGGGTAAGTTTTTTCGATCACGTATATTACAGTTTCATAATTTTGGATAACAAATCTATAACTGAATTAAAAAGAAATAAACCCTAAACCTTCAAAATATTAGAAAAAGTTAAAATCCTTAAAATATTAGAAAGAAATAAAGATATTAAACTTTTAAATATAAACATTAACCATTTGAGAATAAGAAGACAAAGGTCGATTGAAAAGGTTGATAATACATAAGTAAAAGCTTTTTTTATAGGCTCCTTTTAACAAAATTCCCTAAATTACACGATAACTTTTCAAAAAAGTAAACTCTTTTTCTCAATTTTCAAAAATATTATGATGTTTTGTTTATGTTTTTTTTGGTATGTATCGTTCCTTTTTTATAGAAGTGAATATAGAGCAGATGTATCTTTATTTAACTAAAATAAATATATATTTTTGATTTGTTTTAATTGATTCACCTATATGTTTGTAAATTAAAGATTTTAATCTTCTCCTAAAATAGTATTTCTTTTTATTTTATAATATTTTAGATTCGTTAAAGATCTTAAATGACTATTATATATGTGGATATTCTAATTAAGATACACAATAAATATTTAAAAAAATTATATTGTAGACATATCACAATCATATCATTTTAAAAGCAATTATCATTTAAGTTGATTATTTTTAAAGATTTTAATAGTTGTCACGTTATAAAAACTATTAATATACAGGTATTTTCTCTCAGCATATTAATCTTCAAATTAAGTGTCTATAATTTCATTCTCCCAATTTACCCCAGTTACTATATAATGCTTGCTCATCTCTAGGCTGTCACAAACAATCAGAAGGCCCAGTTTTATTTTAAAATTAGGCCTTAACAGATAAAAACAAAATAAATTTAAAATTTTATATTTTATTCAAAGTGTAAATAAAATTGAATATGTATACAAAAATAATATAGAGATAATCTATAGAAAATTAATTATTAGGAGTCTAGTTTTTTGGTATTTTTCTACTCTTGTGGTACTCAATATATAAAAGTTTATACCATTTAATGAAAGAAAATAATTGTTGAGCAATTTCGATAACGTTAATAACATGTGTTTTAATTAATAAACAAGCGTGAAATTACAAAATTTAAGGTCAATCAATTACTATGCCATATTTATTAATTAATGTGTTGATTCACAATGTTATTAGAAAAATATAAATATTTTTAAATTTATATTTAAATTTTTTTATATATCCGTAAAATCCTTAAAATTTAAGACATTGTATTATGAGTTAGTTTGTACTTGAACGAGAGACTGTGATACTTACTCGTATTAAAGAGTTGATATTGTAAAATTAAAACTAAAATTAGCGGAAACAAAACTTGTAAAAAAGTTAGCCTAAAATAAGTTTACATTTTTTTATAGATATGTACACCATTGAGTTTCAAAAGAGAGGGTTGTCACATGCACGTATCTTGATATTTTTGCATCCTTCTAACAAGTATCCAAGACCTGAAGACATTGACAAAATTATTAGTGTTGAAGTGTATGATCCTTTAAAAGACTCAAAGTCGTGTAATTTGGTTAAAACACACATGGTTCATGGACCTTGTGGTTTGACAAACCTGAATTCATGTTGCATGAAAGACATGAAATGCTCCAAGTTCTACCAAAACAATTTTCAATCTTCAACCATAGTGGATCAGGATGGCTATCCAATATATAGGAGAAGAGACAATGAACACACAGTTGAGAAAAGCATAATCATCCTTCATAGTGGTCATGTGGTTCCCCATAATCCAACTAACTTTATTGTTGAAGTATGAAACTCTTTTAAACATAGAATGGTGCAATCAAAGTATTTCGATCAAGTACATCAACAAAGGTTTTGATCAAATTTATGTTTTTATTCAACCTTCTGAGAACACTAGATATGGTGAGAAAAACAACATTGACGAAATCAAGCAATATCTAGATTGTCGCTACATCTCGGCAAGTGACGCATGTCGAAGGATATTCTCATATTCTATACATGGCAGGAAGCCAGCTGTTGAGATATTGTATTTTCACATGGAAGGAGAATATTTTGTTTACTACAGAGATTTTGAGCAAATTGGGAATGTTTTACTCAAACCGGGTGTAACCGAATCAATGTTTACAACACGGTTTGAGGCAAATAAAAAAATATGAAGATGCACGATTGGTAACATATGGTGACTTTGTCTATAAGTTTGTTTACCATTAACCAATTAGAAGTTGGAAACTTAGAAAAAGAGGATATACCATTAGTCGT